TTTAAACCTGTCTGGAGTATAATATTTATGATGGCTTTTATTAAAGTGACATTTTTGAAGGAAAGAGCATAGTGTAGAAAAAATTTAGACCTTGAGAGGAATAAGTGTAATTTAAATAAAATCAGTCACATGAAACAAAGGGATAATATTAATGAGTAAGGTTCCTCATAATAGTATTGCAGCATGTCTTTATCATAATCAATACGTCATATTAAAAATATACAGGTTATAGTCACTTTGTTTTTTCAAGCGAACCTGAGTACTATATTATAGTATATAAATTCAAAAATTAACGAAATTTGTCAAAATTATGGCATTTTTTGTACCTAATTATTTGTTCGTAATCCGTACGATAATAAAATATTGTAGAAAATAACAGTGATAATATGTGTTTTAGGAACATAGGTATGCGTTACATGAACTACGATTATGAATATAAATGTTTTAAGACAATATATCACAAAAAAGTGATTATTTGGTTTTGGGAGAAATAATAGGAATCGATCAATTTATGATTTGGCGGGAAAATGCATCAGGGGGAAAGGGAAAGGTGTGCTTTTGGAGGAAACCGACTATGCCCTACATATTTAGACAGGGTACAGTTGTAGGTATGTACTGTTATTGAGCCACAATATATAGGAATGTTAAGGTAGTAGCCAGTATATAGGTTGTGGCCGGTGCATAACAAGGACAATTTGATTATTATAGAACGGCTGATCTTTAAGGATAGAAACCACGGCTGGGGAGGGATGCTTTTGGATATTATTTTATTTCTGGAGGCGAACGATTCTGGAAGGTTTTTCACATCCACAATTTATGAAGGCGATTATTTTAAATGTTATTGAGACTCATTTTCTCGAACAGTATTATTACTTTTGAGAATATTTGTTTCACAAGTACCAAACTATAATCTAAATTATATTATGTCGTTATTGTTGTATAAGTTTTTAATTTTTGAATAACCTGATAGCATATACATAATATATGATTTCATATTATAAATCAGCATACTGTTTTAAACATTTTAATATATAAAAACGAATTTTGAATGAATAGTATCTAAACTTTGATGAGTGGCGTGTAATGGATCAATATTTTGTGGGTTTCCCTGATGCCCGTCCAGGATAAGTTCTCGCCCTTCTCTCGTCTCCCCAGATATTTTAACTCCTATTTTTTACTGATGTGTTACCGTTTATATGATGGACATTATATTATAATCGTAAATACCAAATGGGATTACCTTCTTCATTTTTAAATCTCCGTAATCGGTAAATGTGGTCGTTCAAAATTTTTAAAAATAAAGGCGTTCACCTATTAGTTAGTCGGGTTTCCCACACGAGTTGTCATTCTGTTAATTGTGTATGTGTATGTGTATGTGTCTGTGTGGTGTGTGGTGTGTGTGTGTGTGTGTGTGTGTGTGTGTGTGTGTGTGTTTGTGCATGGTCGCATTTCGTTCATTCGTTGGTACTTGGTATAAATATTTGTCGGTGTAAATGTTGTTTGATTTCACTTAAATGTTAAATCTCAAAAACTGAAAAACAATAACAATAACGTTGACAGTTGAGAGCCGACCCCGACGACTGTAAGTTAATGATACTTTTTGATTATGTTTATTTCAAGTCAACCGTTGAACAGTGGAAGTCTGTTCCATATTTTACAAATATAATATTATCATATATAACGTATATACGTAGTTATAACTACGTTAAATAAAAATGAGTGTTCGAAAAATGGATTCTTACTATGGTCCTCAAATGAGTTCAGCTAAACATAAACACTCATGAAAACTTAAACAGTTAAAAATGTTTTATATTTAAATCTATATTTGAATTATCTTTTATTTTTATTTTTTATATTTTATTACTATTTTGTATTAAATGTAATATACTTATATGTTATTATATAATGCAAAAACTCACTATAATAGTTTTTACTGATACATAAACCATTATTTTTTTTCTATTGATAGAAGTACAATAATTATTGTTGAGCTTGCCCCTTCAAAAAATTGACTTACCCTTTATTGCTCCCCTAGGAAAATAATTCTGGTGCCGTCCCTGTCCCTGTGCCACTCCGATTTGAAATCGGCAAGTCTAAATCGTTACTTAATTTTAATACTTAATTTAACTAATTACACAAACAAATATTTCTATTTAGAATATGAAATCAAATATGTATCCATAGTCTCTTAAAAAAAAAAAAACAAACATTAAAAATCGAAAACAATATGATTTTTGTCAAAATTTTGTTTTATAATGACTTTAAATTATGCAAAACATATTTTAATATAAATGTTAATATAGGTAGATATTGTTAATGATCGTATACATGAGTATATTCACTATATTAAAATAATAATAATATAAAATAATTCTGTTATTTTAAAACTTAAACATTTATCACAATACATTAGTAATTTTTCTTTGTAGTATAAACCAATTTTTATTTTCGAAATAAGACTATAGTAAAATTGTATTATTTCGAATGAAACTTTAATGTATTCACATATAGAAGAATAAAGTACTTTATGTTTTATTAAAATATAATATAAGTACTATAGAGCGTTGGAAAAGACAAGAATAATAAAAATGGATCAATGAGGTAGAAACCCTAACAAACAATATATTCTTATAACTTAATATAAGATACAACGTAACATAATTTTTAAAATAAAACAAATAACGCAACATTTATGAAAATATGTCGTTATATTTTGAAGAGGGATAGTTACAATATGTAACGTTTGCTTTTATAAAATAAATATTATCATCAAATAAATGTGTTTACTGTATATACAAATACTGTTTAAAATGAGAAATAAATATATGTTATTACATTTATATAATATTCAACACGTATATAATTAATAATAATAATAATAATAATATTTATTGTTACCAAATTAAAATTAATGTACAAAACATCTTATAAGCAATAATTAATTAATTTTTGGTTCTCTTTTCAAAATACCTTTTTAATACCTACCTATTTAATAATATTATACCTATACTCATGTGTCGGATATGTATGATAATTCGTGTTTTTCTATTATATTATAGGTATTTTATTCATATTTAGTCAGATAACGATTATTTTATTTAGAAATATTATATTTTTAAACGACTTAAAATTATTTAGAAAAATTGTTTTCAAAAACTTTAATAGTTTTTAAAAAATGAGTGTCTTACTTTCAATATGGATCGCCTGGTATTGCCTGAATATAACTAGTACACATCCGTTGTAAAAAGAAGTGGTGTATTGACAAATGGAGCACGCTGCTCGATATTTTCCACTTCGAAGAAAATGTATGAATCATAAATATGTTTTAATAAGTTACCATAAATTGTATACCATATACCTACCTATCGGGAATTAGGTATATTTTACATTTTATTCGTTTCTGTGGTGATAGAATCCCAGTCCAAAAACATACTTATGTAAAAAAAAATAGCAAAGTCTCATACAGTTACATATATTATATTTAAATCGACGAGCCAATAACCTAACGTGATTAAAATGCGAGTGAAATTTTAATTGAATGACATCAAAACATGCTATTGTTGATGTACCTACATTTAAAAAAGGTAGGACCGAACCGATTCGACGTTAATAAGATTATTGCTGAAAATTGTATAGAAAAATTGCGTTTATACCTATATTTTTCAACGTATAACTTCTGTTCGTATGTTCATCATGAATGATAGTTAAATAATAAACAAAAATAATATATTTATATATCTTGAAAAATAATCAAAATAAATTCAAAAAAGTCAAGTGCGTTTTAATAATAATATAATATTATAGTATAGGTATAAGGTAATATTATATTCGGCGAGCTCGTATGATAGGAAATCGTTGTAACAACTAACGATATACACCATTCGCATAATTATAATAATTTATAGACCGTGTGGCGTGTTTTGTTGTTATGAGTTTATAATCGATAAATGTTACATGGCCATCATAGTTCGTAATAAAATAAGATAAAAACTTTTCGCGCAAATCAAAAAACCCCACAATTGATAAGAAAATGATAATAATTGTGGTTTATCGTGGTTATAAGTATTAACCTTCATGTTCCAACGTAGTAAGAAAAAAAGTGTTCCTTAATTTTTATAAATCCACTGAACAACCCTCTAGATTAGTTGATGAATTTAGGAACGCACGGAAAATCAAAGATGTCCGACGTGTCGTAGAAATATTTGTACTGATATAAAACTACTAGGTCAGAGGACCGACCAGACATTTCTGGATACTCTCTCGTCTACAAACTATAAAATTATAAAATATATTTTTGTTTTGAAACCGTTTATTGTTGTGAAATATTATTATTGCAATATTCACAATATTATCAATTATTAAATTTTATCAGTTATCACTTAAGAGGATGTGGTACCCGTATGTGTGCATACGTCTACCGTCCTTTTGATATTAGTAATTATATTATTTATTTTTTAATAATCGTGCAGACGGAATCGTCGTAGACCGTAGGTGTATTATAATATGCACAATGCACGGCGGATATCCGTCAGTGGTTTTTTTTTTTTTTTTGGGGGGGGAGGAGAATTAATTGAATTGAGTTTAATACCGACTTAAATTATTAATCTATTCGTCACGAAATCCACGGACTGACGTACGTGAATATCGTACATATATAAATAATTTTTTTTGCAGAGTTTTCGAAAACGGCAGTTTCGTGGACTCGTTGGAGGTGAGTGAAGTGGCAATAATTATAGTAAATTATTGTAACCAAAATTCTAGTGATTAAAATTTTTTATTTCGTTTATTCATATTTCGTCACACGTAAACGTTTTTGAACTGGAAAAAAACGTGAGTTACACTCAATATATATATATAAAATAATGCATAGTATTATTATGTATATTACATGCAATAGAGGGAGGTAAAAACAAAACGTCTGTAAAATAAATTGCGTACAAGTATTTTCAAAATCGACGTAAGTGCATTCAATATAATGGTGGTGCTGTTCGCCTAATTGACTATTCGTCTTCGGGGTTGGTATTTATGTCAACACATTGCCGGCGTCTGTTATACTTTTTACCCGCACCGCAATCTTTCAGCGGGACTTCGATGACGGTCCGATCGTGGGTTGTCGTCTCCAGCTTCGGTCTCGGCGAAGTCGTCACAGATGCGTTTGCCAACGACTGGTAAGGATCTTTTCCACCCGGTTGTTCGACCACCGTCGGTTTCGGCGAGATCTGCTGTGGCTGTTGCTTAGGCGGTTGCTGCGAATATTGTTGTTTGTCGTCCGGAGAAGTCTGCGGCGACTGGTCTTTCTTGGTATTGAAGATGGACGAAATTTTCGGCAACGGTAGCTGCAACTTGGACAGTAGCGACGTAGGAGCGGAGTCGCTGGTGTTGCGTGGACTGGATAAGGTCAAACCGAATATGGGGGCTGCACAGCCAAGCGAGATTGCCATGGCTATCGTCGCCACTGCCAACAGGTAGCGAGCGGATCCTGCACAATCCATGGCCGTCGACCGTTTGTTACTGTTGTTTCTCAAACCGATTATTTAATACGCAATGGATTTCAAGCACGCTCGCGAGATGAGGAGTAGTATCCACTCTCGAGATCGGTACGGGTTATACTGGCCGTGGAGCGGTGATGTTGATTTCGCGCTGTGACAGAAAAGGAACTTTGTATTTTCTCCTACTCTTCCGTGCCCGACTATACCATCCGTCCGTCCACCTATGAGGCTGGTTACAACGAATAACACCGCCGCCATGTATGAGTGTAGGTATCAGAGGCGTAATTTGGTGGGGGGATTAGGGGGATAGATCCTCGTTTAGTATCATCTCTCAACCGTATATTATAGGAGTATAGGACATTCTATATTATACAATATATAGGTTAGTAACGTTTTTTATCAATATATATTATTATATATTAGCATAATGCAAAAAATATATAAATATAATACAATTATATGTATAGAGGTATGCACTATAGTTATAATATAATATAAGTACTATAGAGCGTTGGAAGAGAAAAGAATAATAAAAATGGATCAATGAGGTAGAAAGTAGAAACCCTAACAATCAATATATTCTTATAACTTAATATAAGATACAACGTAACATAATTTTTACAATAAAACAAATAACGCAACATTTATGAAAATATGTGGTTATATTTTGAAGAGGGATAGTTACAATATGTAACGTTTGCTTTTATAAAATAAATATTATCATCAAATAAATGTGTTTACTGTATATTCAAAATGAGAAATAAATATATGTTATTACATTTATATAATTATCAACACGTATAGAATTAATACCTACCTATTTAATAATATTATACCTATACTCATGTGTTGGATATGTATGATAATTCTGGTTTTTCTATTATATTATAGGTATTTTATTTATTTATTATTTATATTTTATTTAGAAAATTATTTAGAAAATTTTTTTTCAAAAACTTTATTAGTTTTTTAAATAATGTGTGTCTTACTTTAAATATATGGACCGCCTGGTGTTGCCTGAATATATCTAGTACACATCCGTTGTAAAGAAAAGTGGTGTATTGACAAATGGAGCACGCTGCTCGATATTTTCCACTTCGAAGAAAATGTATAAATCATAAATATGTTTTAATAAGTCACCATAAATTGTATACCATATACCTACCTATCGGGAATTAGGTATATTTTACATTTCATTCGTTTCTGTGGTGATAGAATCCCAGTTCAAAAACATACTTATGTAAAAAAAATAGCAAAGTCTCATACAGTTACATAAATTATATTTAATTCGACGAGCCAATAACCTAACGTGATTAAAATGCTAGTGAAATTTTAATTGAATGACATCAAAACATGCTATTGTTGATGTACCTACATTTAAAAAAAACGCGGAGGTAGGACCGAACCGATTCGACGCTAATAAGATTATTGCTGAAAATTGTATCGAAAAATTGCTTTTATACCTATATTTTTCAACTTATAAATTTTGTTTGTATCATGGGCGTTCTCACGGGGGGGTATATGGTATATGGGGGATAGATCCCCCCCAAGGATCTTTATTTTCTTACATTTTAGTAATACACGTTTTGTCTACTTTTGATATTATATGTTTGTGAATTGTGACAAGTTATAATTATTATTTATTTTTTTTTAATATTTTTATTTTTCGTGATTATTGATATATTATGATATTATGATAATAATAACAACACAGTGATAACAACTTACAAACATATTATGTGCATTATGCTATTATGCTATTACTATTATGTGTTAACCATGATTAAAGATAAAGATAAAGTATACTTATCTTTAACCGTGGTGTTAACCAAAGTGTGGTTCGTTATTATCGTTAATCCGAATTATGTGATATCATTTTTCGGCTGGTTATTGACACAGACTTAATCTATATCTATTATCTGTGGTTAATGTGCTCAAATATTTTTGAAGGTCAGTATTATTTAATTTATAATTATTACATGAAAATGTGAAAAATGATATTGATTAATTATTTGGTATCTTATTCAATATTTTTTTTTAATTTAGGTTTCCAGTGTTTATTTTCAAATGAAATTTAACAAGAATCATTTGAAAAACTTGTCAAATTTTACCTCGACACAGATGTTTATATAGTTATTGCTGAACTGAAAATATGGCAGTCAAAGTTAAGGAAAATTGATAAATTTTCTAAAACGGCTATAGATGCATTACGTTTATGTAATTTTGAAAATTTCCCTAACATCTACCAACTTTTCAAAATACTCTGCACCTTGCCGGTCTCTACCTCGACTCCAGAAAGAACATTTTCATGTTTGAAAAGACTTAAGACCTATCTGAGAAACACACTGAATTAAGTAAATAGAAAATTTATTATAACCATATTTAATTATTTTTGTTATATTATGATTATATTTTCTAGGACCGTCTTAATGGTCTAACGTTGTTGGCCATTCATAAAGATGTACCTGTTGATTCTGAAAAAGTTCTTGACATTACATCCGAAAAATCTATAAAAATCAATATTTTAATTTGAATTAAACATCCAATAATAATCAAAATATATTATTAAAACTGATTTATAAAATTGTTTTATATTTTAAATAAAATTCAAGTAAATTTTCAGAGCCCCCCCCCCCCCATAGAAAAACCCTGAGAACGACACTGGTTCGTATGGTCATCATGAATGATCATAAAATAATAAACAAAAATAATATATTTATATATCTTGAAAAATAATCAAAATAAATTCAAAAAAGTCAAGTGCGTTTTAATAATTATATAATATTATAGTGTAGGTATAAGGTACCTAATATTATATTCGGCGAGCTCGTATGATAGGAAATTGTTGTAACAACTAACAATATACATCATACGCATAATTATAATAATTTATAGACCATGTGGCGTGTTTTGTTGTTATGAGTTTATAATCGATAAATGTTACATGGCCATCACAGTTCGTAATAAAATAAGATAAAAACTGTTCGCGCAAATCAAAAAACCACACAATTGATAAGAAAATGATAATAATTGTGGTTTATCGTGGTTATAAGTAGGTAGGTCTTAACCTGCACGGAAAATAAAAGATGTCCGACGTGTCGTAGAAATAATTGTGCTGATATAAATTACAATATGTAGGTAAAAAAATAACAAATCTAACTGCAGAATAGGTCAGAGGACCGACCAGACATTTATGGATACTTTCTCGTCTACAAACTATAAAATTATAAAATATATTTTTGTTTTGAAACCGTTTATTATTGTGAAATATTATTATTGCAATATTCACAATATTATCAATTATTGAATTTTATCAGTTATCACTTAAGAGGACGTGGTACCCGTATGTGTGTGCACGTCTACCGTCCTTTTGATATTAGTAATTATTATTTATTTTTTAATAATCGTGCAGACGGAATAATCGTAGACCGTAGGTGTATTATAATATGCACAATGCACGGCGGATATCCGTCAGTGTTTTTTTTTTTTTGGGGGGGGGGGGGGAGGAGAATTGATTGAATTGAGTTTAATATCGACTTAAATTATTAATCTATTCGTCACGAAATCCACGGACTGACGGACGTGAATATTGTACATATATAAATAAATTTTTTTTTGCAGAGTTTTCGAAAACGGCAGTTTCGTGGACTCGTTGGAGGTGAGTGAAGTGGCAATAATTATAGTAAATTATTGTAACCAAAATTTTAGTGATTAAGATGTTTTATTTCGTTTATTCATATTTCGTCACACGTAAACGTTTTCGAACTAAAAAAAAACGTGCGTTACACTGAATATACATATAAAATAATGCATGGTATTATTATGTATATTACATTATACTATAGAGGGAATTAAAAACAAAACGTCTGTAAAATAAATTGAGTACAAGTATTTTCGCAATCGACGAATAGTGCTCACTAAAATGGTGAAGCTGTTTGCCTAGTTCTCCTCATCTTCAGGGTTGGTACTTGTTTCAGGCTTTGGAACGCATTTCAGGTGTCTGTTGAACACTTGACCCTCACTGCATTTTTTCAGCGGGACATTCACTAAGGGACGGAAATCGTGGGTTGTGATCTCTATCTCCGGTATCGGCGGAGGGTGCGGTCCCGGTGAAGGTCTCGGTCTCGGTCTCACAGATACGTTTGCCAACGACTGGTAAGGATGTTTTCCGTCCGATTGTTTGGCTACCGTCGGTTTCGGCGAAGGTCTCGGTCTCGGTGAAGGTCTCGGTCTCGGTGAAGGTCTCGGTCTCGGTGAAGGTCTCGGTCTCGGTCTCACAGATGCGTTTTCCAACGACTGGTAAGGATGTTTTCCGCCCGGTTGTTTGGCTACCGTCAGTTTCGGCGAGATCTGCTGTGGCTGTTGCTTAGGCGGTTGCTGCGAATCTTGTTGTTTTTGTCGTCCGGAGAAGTCTGTGGCAACTGGTATTTCTTGGTATTGAAGATACATGAAATTTTCGGCAACCGTAGCTGTAACTTGGACGGTAGCGACGTAGGAGCGGAGTCGCTGGTGTTGCATGGACTGGATAAGGTCAAGCCGAATTTGGGGGGCCGCACAGCCAAGCGAGATTGCTATGGCTATCGTCGCCACTGCCAACAAGTAGCGAGCGGATCCTGCAAAATCCATGGCCGTCGACCGTTCGTTACTGTTGTGTCTCAAACCGATTATTTAATACGCAATGGATTTCAAGCACGCTCGCGAGATGAGGAGTATTATTCACTCTCGACATCGGTACGATTTACACTGGCCGTGGAGCGGTGGTGTTGATTTCGCACTGTGATAGAAAAGGAACTTTGTATTTTCTCCTACTCTTCCGAGCCCGACTATACCGTCCGTCCGTCCACCTATGAGGCTGGTTACATCGAATAACACCGCCGCCATGTATAAGTGCAGGTATTAGAGGCGTAATTGAGTGGGGGGATTAGGGGGATAAATCCTCCTTTAGTATCATCTCTCAACCGTATATTATAGGAGTATAGGACATTCTGTATTATACAATATATAGGTTAGTAATGTTTTTTATCAATATATATTATTATATATTAGCATAATGCAAAAAATATATAAATATAATACAATTATATGTATAGAGGTATGCACTATAGTTATAATATAATATAAGTACTATAGAGCGTTGGAAGAGAGAAGAATAATAAAAATAGATCAATGAGGTAGAAACCCTAACAAACAATATTCGATGGCGTAGCGCACAAGTGTGATAAGTGACATTTTCGTAATTGTTCAGGAGAACGATTTTTAAGTTTGAGATGTTATAACAAATTCAAAAATGTAACGAACTGTACGACACCTATCGGAGTAAATAATGAACTATTCACTTACAACGTTTGGGCATAATGTGCAGAATTGTATGATTAAATTGATTATGCACTTAACTCATTTTTCAAAAAAATGTCACTTATCACACTTGTGCGCTACGCCATCGATATATTCTTATAACTTAACATAAGATACAGCGTAACATAATTATTACAATAAAACAAATAACGCAACATGTATGAAAATATGTTGTTATATTTTGAAGAGGGATAGTTACAATATGTAACGTTTGTTTTTATAAAATAAATATTATCATCAAATAAGTGTGTTAACTATATATTCAAATACTGTTTAAAATGAGAAATAAATATATATTATTACATTTATATAATATTCAATACGTATATAATTAATACCTTCTGTATATATAACAGAAGTATATAATATATACTTCTGTTCGTATGTTCATCATGAATGATAGTTAAATAATAAACAAAAATAATATATTTATATATCTTGAAAAATAATCAAAATAAATTCAAAAAAGTCAAGTGCGTTTTAATAATAATATAATATTATAGTATAGGTATAAGGTAATATTATATTCGGCGAGCTCGTATGATAGGAAATCGTTGTAACAACTAACGATATACACCATTCGCATAATTATAATAATTTATAGACCGTGTGGCGTGTTTTGTTGTTATGAGTTTATAATCGATAAATGTTACATGGCCATCATAGTTCGTAATAAAATAAGATAAAAACTGTTCGCGCAAATCAAAAAACCACACAATTGATAAGAAAATGATAATAATTGTGGTTTATCGTGGTTATAGGTATTAACCTTCATGTTCCAACGTAGTAAGAAAAAAAGTGTTTCTTAATTATTATCAATCCTTTGAACAACCCTCTAGATTAGTTGATGAATTTAGGAACGTACGGAAAATCAAAGATGTCCGTCGTGTCGTAGAAATATTTGTACTGATATAAAATTACAATATGTAGGTAAAAAAATCCCAAATCTAACTGCAGAATAGGTCAGAGGACCGACCAGACATTTCTGGATACTCTCTCGTCTACAAACTATAAAATTATAAAATATATTTTTGTTTTGAAACCGTTTATTATTGTGAAATATTATTATTGCATTATTCACAATATTACCAATTATCACTTAAGAGGATGTGGTACCCGTATGTGTGTATACGTCTACCGTCCTTTTGATATTAGTAATAATTATTTATATTTTAATAATCGTGCAGACGGAATCGTAGACCGTAGGTGTCTTATAATATGCACAATGCACGGCGGATATCCGTCAGTGGTTTTTTTTTTTTTTTAGGGGGGAGGAAGGAGAATTAATTGAATTGAGTTTAATACAGACTTTTTTTATTTCGTTTATTCATATTTAGTCACAAGTAAAGTTTTCGAACTGGAAAAAAATCGTGCGTTACACTGAATATACATATAAAATAATGCATGGTATTATTATGTATATTACATATGCTATAAGGGAAGTAAAAACAAAACGTCTGTAAAATAAATTGAGTACAAGTATTTTCAGAATCGACGAATAGTGCATTCAATATAATGGTGATGCTGTTCGACTAATTGACTCTTCGTCTTCGGGGTTGGTCAATATGTCAACACATTTTAGGTATCTGTTATACTTTTTACCCTCACCGCAAGAAAACAGCGGGACTACGCTGAAGTGATGGATATAGTTGGTTTTCATCGCCAGCTTCGGTAACGGCGAAGTCGTCACAGATGCGTTTGCCAACGACTGGTAAGGATATTTTCCACCCGGTTGTTCGGCCACCGTCGGTTGCTGCGAATCTTGCTGTTTGTTGTCCGGAGAAGTCTGGTCTTTCTTGGTATTGAAGATGGACCACATTTTCGACAACGGTAGCTGTAACTTGGACAGTAGCGACGGAGGAGCGGAGTCGCTGGTGTTGCGTGGACTGGATAAGGTCAAACCGAATATGGGGGCCGCACAGCCAAGCGAGACTGCCATGGCTATCATCGCCACTGCCAACAAGTAGCGAGAGGATCCTGCACAATCCATGGCCGTCGACCGTTTGTATATTGTTTGTTACTGTTGTTTCTCAAACCGATTATTAAATACTCAGAGGATTTCAAGCACTCTCGCGAGATGAGGAGTAGTATTCACTCTCGAGATCGGTACGGGTTACACTGGCCGTGGAGCGGTGGTGTTGATTTCGCGCTGTGACAGAAAAGGAACTTTGTATTTTCTCCTACTCTTCCGAGCCCGACTATATCGTCCATCCTTCCACCTATGAGGCTGGTTACAACGAATAACACCGCTGCCATGTATAAGTGCAGGTATCAGAGGCGTAATTGGGGGGGGGATTAGGGGGATAGATCCTCCTTTAGTATCATCTCTCAACCGTATATTATAGGAGTATAGGAAATTCTGTATTATACAATATATAGGTTAGTAATGTTTTTTATCAATATATATTATTAGCATAATGCAAAAAATATATAAATATAATACAATTATATGTATAGAGGTATGCACTATAGTTATAATATAATATAAGTACTATAGAGCGTTGGAATAGAGAAGAATAATAAAAATGGATCAAAGAGGTAGAAACCCTAACAAACAATATATTCTTATAACTTAACATAAGATACAGCGTAACATAATTATTACAATAAAACAAATAACGCAACATGTATGAAAATATGTTGTTATATTTTGAAGAGGGATAGTTACAATATGTAACGTTTGCTTTTATAAAATAAATATTATCATCAAATAAATGTGTTAACTATATATTCAAATACTGTTGTATTTGCCATATACCGCCATGTATAAGTGCAGGTATCAGCAGCACGCTGCTCGATATTTTCCACTTCGAAGAAAATGTATAAATCATAAATATGTTTTAATAAGTTATCATAAATTGTATACCATATACCTACCTATCGAGAATTAGGTATATTTTACATTTTATTCGTTTCTGTGGTGATAGAATCCCAGTCCATATACATACTTATGTAAAAAAAATTTCAAAGTCTCATACAGTTACTTATAATACTAAAACTAATAAATTATTAGAAGTCAACAAGCCAAAAACCTAACGTGATTAAAATGAGAGTAAAATTTTAATTGAATGACATCAAAACATGCTATTGTTGATGTACCTACATTTAAAAAAAACGCGTAGGTAGGACCGAACCGATTCGACGTTAATAAGATTATTGCTGAAAATTGTATCGAAAAATTGCGTTTATACCTATATTTTTCAACCTATAACTTTTGTTCGTTTGGTCTTCATGAAAGATCATTAAATAATAAACAAAAATAATATGTTTATATATCTTGAAAAATAATCAAAATAAATTCAAAAAAGTCAAGTACATTTAATAATAATATAATATTATAGTGTAGGTATAAGGTAATATTATATTCGGCGAGCTCGTATGATAGGAAATCGTTGTAATAACTAACAATATACATCATACTCTTAATTATAATAATTTATAGACTGTGTGGCGCGTGGTTTGTTGTTATGAGTTTATAATCGATAAATTTTACATGGAAAACATAGTTCGTAATAAAATAAGATAAAAACTTTTCGCGCAAATCAAAAAACCACACAATTGATAAGAAAATGATAATAATTGTGGTTTATCGTGGTTATAAGTATTAACCTTCATGTCATCCAACGTAGTAAGAAAAAAAGTGTTCCTTAATTTTTATTAATCCACTGAACAACCCTCTAGATTAGTTGATGAATTTATGAACGCACGGAAAATCAAAGATGTCCGACGTGTCGTAGAAATATTTGTACTGATATAAAACTACTAGGTCAGAGGACCGACCAGACATTTCTGGATGCTCTCTCGTCTACAAACTATAAAATTATAAAATATATTTTTGTTTTGAAACCGTTTATTGTTGTGAAATATTATTATTGCAATATTCACAATATTACCAATTATTAAATTTTATCAGTTATCACTTAAGAGGATGTGGTACCCGTATGTGTGCATACGTCTACCGTCCTTTTGATATTAATAATTATTATTTATTTTTTAATAATCGTGCAGACGGGAATCGTCGTAGACCGTAGGTGTATTATAATATGCACAATGCACGGCGGATATCCGTCAGTGGTTTTTTTTTTTTTTTTTGGGGGGGGGAAGGAGAATTAATTGAATTGAGTTTAATACCGACTTAAATTATTAATCTATTCGTCACGAAATCCACGGACTGACGTACGTGAATATCGTACATATATAAATAATTTTTTTTTGCAGAGTTTTCGAAAACGGCAGTTTCGTGAACTCGTTAGAGGTGAGTGAAGTGGCAATAATTATAGTAAATTATTGTAACCAAAATTCTAGTGATTAAAATTTTTTATTTCGTTTATTCATATTTCGTCACACGTAAACGTTTTCGAACTGAAAAAAAAAACGTGCGTTACACTGAATATACATATAAAATAATGAATGGTATTATTATGTATATTACATATGCTATAGAGGGAAGTAAAAACAAAACGTCTGTAAAATAAATTGAGTACAAGTATTTTCACAATCGACGAATAGTGCTTACTAAAATGGTGGAGCTGTCCTCCTCGTCTTCGGGGTTGGAACTTCTTTCACGTTTTGCAACGCATTTCCGGTGTTTGTTGAACACTTGACCCTCACTGCATTTTTTCAGCGGGACTCCGATAAAGTGAAGGATATTGTGGGTTGTCGTCTCCATCTTCGGTCTCGGCGAAGTCGTCACAGATGCATTTGCCAACGACTGGTAAGGATCTTTTCCACCCGGTTGTTCGGCCACCGTCGGTTCTGGCGAGATCTGCTGAGGCTGTTGCTGCGAATCTTGCTGTTTGTTCTCCGGAGAAGTCGGAGCATTCGTCGCAGATGACTGCGGCATCCGGTGTTTGTGCAACCTTGAATGCAACCTCTCCGAAATGTTCGGTAACGGTATTGGTAGCGGTAACTTGGACAGTGGTGACGTAGGATCGGAGTCGCCGGTGTTACGTTGACTGGATAAGGTCAAGCCGAACATGGGGGCCGCACAGCCAAGCGAGAGTGCCATGGCTATCATCGCCACTGCCAACAAGTAGCGAGAGGATCCTGCACAATCCATGGCCGTCGACCGTTTGTATATTGTTTGTTACTGTTGTTTCTCAAACCGATTATTAAATACTCAGAGGATTTCAAGCACGCTCGCGAGATGATGAGTAGTATTCATTCTCGAGATCGGTACGGGTTATACACTGGCTGTGGAGCGGTGGTGATGATTTCTCGCGGTGACAGAAAAGGAACTTTGTATTTTCTCCTACTCTTCCGAGCCCGACTATACAGTCCGTCCACCTATAAGGCTGGTTACATCGAATCCCACCGCCGCCATGTATAAGTGCAGGTATCAGAGGCGTAATTGGGGGGGGATTAAGGGGATAGATCCTCCTTTAGTATCATCTCTCAACCGTATATTATAGGAGTATAGGACATTCTGTATTATACAATGTATAGGTTAGTAATGTTTTTTATCAATATATATTATTATATATTAGCATAATGAAAAAAATATATAAATATAATACAATTATATGTATAGAGGTATGCACTATAGTTTTCCGGCGTGTTTATCAATTTTTAAAGCCCTACGATGATTATCTTTTTTATATTTGTTTATTGCATGTATTAAAACGTTTTAATATGACATAAAGTTCAATAAGTGATTATGATATCAATAAATATATTGATTTGATAGAATATTGTTTCATAACTGTTTTTAGTAATTTTATCTGAGGTACTTATCATTTCATAATTCATTATTTATTCAGTGAAAATGACTGCAGGTTCATTGTCAGCAACGGATAAGCTTAAATTTGGAAATAAGTGTTAATAGTTTTAGTTATGTTTTGTACATTTGTACCTACATCAAGATGGATAAATAGTTGTTAACAATTCCTTAAAACTGAGGAGAGATTAAATTAGTACCTACAAAACCTGAGCAACCAATTTAACGAGGAAATTATATTACTTACGTTGAGAAATTGATATAGTATAAAAACTAAAATCTTATGGGAAAATGATAAGAGATAACATTAAATATCATACAACACGTTATGATTATTACTGTAGGAGGTACTTATAATATTATAATGTATTATTTATTATGGATTGCATACTACAATTGTATTGATTTCAGATTTTAGAATAGGTTGAATGGAAAAAGAATACTATAACTCACAAAAGAATTACAGTCATGTTAATTAAAACCACCTTTTTTTTTTGTTTTTCGTTGTGAAACAAGGTAAGCTAGATGTAACTGAAATACGTAGTAATTTAAATTTTACTTTTCATGCAAAATCTTTATTCCGTAAAGTAAGCTTATACAGTTATACCTAATTTATAAGTGTATAAAAGTCATCAATTCATGTTGTTCTCGGGTGTGTTTAATTTTTTTAATTATTAAAGTAACTTTTACGATGGAGTATTATAATATAAATAATATTACACGATGGTAATATAAAATAATTAACATTACCCCATTTTACGTTATCGTTAACATTGATGTATTATTTTATGTTATGGTCGTAAAGTTGTTTTAACTAATGGTGTATTTTGGTACAACTTTACGAGCTCAGTAAGTGCATTTGCAATATTATTTATTTAAATTACTACTCGTATCGTCTTGATGAAAAATATTCCGTCGGATTTATTGTAAGATTTAGACGTCACCGCAGTTATCAAACGCTTATAGGGAAAAAATGCATGTACCTAGTATATTATTATAGGTGCTTAATCAATTCATAAATACATATTTTAGTCTTGAAAATAAAGTACCTCACCTTGATGCAACTATACAAGTACATTAAGTGTTTATATATATTATTATATTTTGTGGATGTGTGGGAACACTGTTGGGGTTTTGGGTTTTTTTTACACGGTGATGTTTATTATATTTTTCTGAATTCCACAACTTTGCGCTTTTTAATTTTTGACGTGGTAGGTAATGGAGGAAAAAAACAAATTTTCTGCCTCGTATGTTAATACGAATGATTAATGGTACAAAAAATCACATGGGAACCACCTTCCATACCAAATTTAATAATCCCATTCACGTTTCTTTTTTCCCTTCTCTGCAACTCGAAACATTACAAATGAAACATTTCAGCTTATGTATACTAGCTTATGCGTAAAATATGGCACCGGCTCAAAAAAGGTATTTCATACAATATTTTTCAATTAGAATAATTAGATGATGGTTACGCGCGTTTAGTATAAGGTGTTCGACGAAAGCGCATATTTTGATCATGACAAGTTTATTGGTTTTTAATCGTTTTATTAGAACGTTATATTTTGGTATAAATGGAAAGACACTTAATCAGACATTTTATGCATCGATAATATTATATTCTAAAGTAGTAATAGTAATTAAATTTAAATCATTTAAGTAATTCATATACCTACTACCAATACCGTTTTGATTTCGAATAATAACATTAAATTAAACTCCATTGCACAGTCGGTTTTGAAACTGAAAAAAAAAATACAAAAATGAATAATATCTGAAAGACCGAAAGCTAATGACTTGTACATTAAGTTTAGAGCTACCAAGCAACTGTTAAAAAAAACATTTATATGCATTAAAAGTAAAAAAAAAATAAAGAAATAAGGGGGAAAGTAGGTACCACTTTACTGCTCAGTAAGTGTCGATTATACCTCGTCATTGAGTAGGTCACTGAAATTTACATATGTGTTAAGTTTGTAGTTTTAACGTCTGTAAGCCTTTTAGACGGACAAACGTATATTCGTTTTTATATTTATAGATTGTTGAACAAAACTTTCTGCGTCTATGTCAGCATATTACGTGTTTAATATTTCATCTGTATAAATTTCTTTGGCTAAATCTCTTTCAATGTTTATACTCTATAAAACTTAATTTTGTGAATCGCTTCTGTACCATACTGCTTTTTAGCTATTCTTTTTTTGTTTTTACATTACAGCTTAATACAATATTAATACAATACAATTGGAATGCAAGCTAAGAACAACAATGTGAAGTGATAATAAATTCTTAAAAAAAAAATACATTTGTTAAACAAAGTGAGCAATTGAAATAATAGAGACAAAGAACTTGGGGTGCTTAAATTTAAGTTAGGCGTGGTGAAGCACCCCCTAACAAGCCTACAGGATCGCTACCGTTCGTGGCAGAATACAAAACATACCGTTATAATATGTATGTTTACACGGCCACACGGGGTTATACGTTTAATTGTTTAACTAGCAGGCGATAAAAACAATAACACACATTATATTATATGTATATCTAATATTTATATAATAATAAGATGGACTAGAAAACCGTCAGTTGGTTCCGAGATGTCCACACACTAACATAATATATTAAATTATCATTATGGTCACAGGTAGTCCGCGGATGTGGCAAACTCTGGACCAAATTGTGTGGTATTGGATCGTTTCTGGGTCTAGAACCGATGGGCAGTGATGGTATCTGGTTTGGGTCCGTCAGAAGTATTTTGCTGATTGTACGACGTGAAAGAGAGTGAACTTCGATTATACTGTTGACATATTTCGGTATCTCGTGGTGAGTGCAGAGTCTTATAATATTATTTGATTTTTTCTCAAGACCAAAAGAATATTATATTATAATTTCGTCCAGAAAACGTAGAACACCACCCTAATGCACCTGTAAAAATACTTATTACGATGTCCCTTTCACTATCCTATCACCAAATGTTCGTCCATTTAACGCCTTCGTTCTTTGAAAGTTACTGAAATTTGATTAATTAATTCTTAAAGGAAACGATATTTTATGTTTAAACTGTACCTTTACTATTAACTCTATCGTTTTATATCAATCTGCAGGTGTTGAAGCTTGTAATATGCTTGTTTAGTGGATAGCCGGATAGGTACATATTAGAAACAATATACTCAATTGTAGGCATTAACTTATTATTTTTATATTGAGTTAGTTACTTTTTTAATGACAAATATAATTGGGCATAACGTTTTTATATTATATAAAATATTAAATAATTATCGTATTAAAAAGTGATTTTTTTATGGGAACACTATTTAATTTTCAACCTTTAATATTGTTAGGAAAATCATTAGCTATACATATGTACTTTTGAACAAAACTTCACAAAATGATAAACTTCATGAATTTTTTTTTTGACGTTTAGATAAGTAAATGTATATAATTATATAATTACATAATTACATGTATCGATATTTAACATACACAACGAATATGTAATATGTTTAACGATTTACTTTATTGGCTATACTACACTATGGTAAATTATCATCCCATAAAACTATAAAATCTATGTTTTTCATTGTTCTGAATTTGACATGGTTTCGAGGGCTAACACTGTGACGTTTATAATTTTTGAAACATAAAATTGTACACGCAGTTACCTGTATATAGTTATATAAAATTATATCTACTAACAACTTAAAAATATAATATATTGTACATACCTACTACATTAACTATTTTGTAAAAACCTGGAGGTATTTAATGTGTAAAAAAAAAAATTAGAATATATTTTGATAATTGATAATGTATAAAATAATTTATGTAAAAGTGTCTAAAATTAGACAAATTTAATTTATAAAACATCAAATCTCTTTTTTTTTTATCTTTATTGACGTGATGTGTGTTACACTTGTATTATAATAATATGCTAATTTAATATTTACATATTTACAGGTTACAGGCGATGTACAATTACTACTAATATTGATTACATTCATTTACCGATGACTTTGATGAATATATTATTACTTGTATACATAAATAATTATCCAAGAAAAAACAATAAAAGTGACCTCAATAACCTCTGTGAATAAATTTATTTATTTTAGGGAATTTGAAAGCTGAACATTTTTCTGCAATGCTAGGTATACGTCATACCGCAAAACAGAATTAGATTTACTTATTTTTTTTTAACAGAAATAACAATAATAATATACTTAAAAATAGTTGTTACTAGCTGTAAATACATCGACTTTTTTTTTAAATTCTAAATCAAATTATTTTTTTTTTATTGGTTTTGACGACTGAGGTCATTACCATGCAAGGTTGATAGAGTTGGTACGGTAAGG